GTAGCCGTATGCGCCCTAGTAGAAGTAGATCCCCAGGTTCAGTGAGGATTCTGTAAACATTTTTTCGGGTACGAAAATTTTAGAGCTACAACTTCTGCAGTCCAGTTTCTCCACTCCCAACATCATCCACCATATTCTCCAGAAGTCTTGAGGAAGATGACCCATTGCCGCCTGCAGAGTAGATTTGTAGTCACTAGGACGGGCAGCCTGAATTATAAGCTGGTCAGTAAATGAGAGAGCTGAGTACAAGCAAGAGTTGCTCGTAGATCGAGATGCATTCGTTGGTCAACTAATAGTTTCGAGCGTTGCCACCCTGCGAGCTGGTAGGTGAGCCTTCGGCAATTCTTGCAAAGACGCCCGCGCTTGCATTCAAGCACAGGATGCACATTAAGATCATCTCACACTGGTATTCCAGCATGAAATTAAAACCTTTCAAGCTGCAGCAGCTGATCTAGAGAAGCACCCTCGGTATAGACCTGGGAGCAAGAACACGAAGAGTAAATTGTTGGGACCTCATGTAAGTGTAGTTTGTGCACGAGTACATAGCTACCTGGTACCAGTAATGAAAATTTAAAAGGTTCCAGACCCTAGATGTACCGGAATGGATTCTAGAAGCATCGCACCACTAGCTAAGTTGTTGCTCCCCAGGGATTTTGAAATCGAAAGATAAGCTGCAAGCAGGTCTTGAGAACCCACGCAGTGAACGATCCAGGCATGATAATGCCCTACAGAATGCAGGTTCGCTTGACGAAATCTGCAAACCTCTCAATAAGCTCATCGGCTTTGCTGGCAGCTTCCTGTAGATCAGTCTCCTCCTCACGATGATGCTCACACCCACTGTCTAGAGAAGCTAGCTGTCGATCTACATATATTATTAATTCTTGAGGGAGTATATAACCATATATAACCTATTGTGGCACCAGAGTCCTGGCACAGAATAGGAGCTAGATCTAGCATAGAGGAAGCTAGTGCAACGGAGAGAAACTGAAGAAGCAACCTCTTTATCGCGTATTCGTCTTTGAGTTCCGAATCATTATTATTATTTACTTGTCCAATCCTCCTGATCATCCACCATTCCCTGCAGCCGGTCGCGAAGGTCCACGAGACCCATTCTCTCTTTCTCCAAATCATCCTCGATGGCCTCGCGAAGGGGCTTCGACCTGCCAATTTCATTTTCTCATCTCCTGGGACTTGGAGTTAGATGCGCCTCGTATTGCTATATGTGATATGAATTTGTTAATATCAATCAAGGCCCAGTAATTGTATATATATTATATAGGGTTTGCTGTGGAAACGGCAGAATACTTGGCGCAGGGTTTGGGGCTACAAGATGGTAATTCGGCTAGGGGTTGGGCAGGAAGAAGGTCAAGTACAAGTTGAGTAAGGAACCCCGTCTAGGATTATTATATGAAGACTTCATATTCAGCACTTGGGGGCTATTTAAAACAAGGTAGTACGTCATTACCTGGAAACAACAAATAGGGTTTCGCTTCTTTTACTGTGGTCAATTGATCAAGAGGCTTCGGGGATGCTTCTGCTGTACAGGAAGCGGCTGTTCAATCAGATTCAGGAACACATAGTATGTGGTTCACCTGGGGTAGGGTTCATATACCATAATAACAACGACTATCTCATAAGGGGGCCAGGGGCGCCATAGTGGATCTGCTTGGCATGCCTACAAACACACATGGGGGTCGTCAGCCTGGGTTCCTTCAAGGTCAGGGGAAGTTGGCAAGTGCGGGTGAACTGGCTAAAGAGCACAATCCTCATGCCTTGAAAAAAGTAGGAACCCATAACGGCTTCATGAAACTTACGCGAATAGCAACCTCCTAAGTGCGCCCAATCTAGGCAGTGAGCGCTTTGCTGCCAACAACTCGCCTTCTGAAGACCCCTGGTACACCCCCAAACCCGAAACACACTTCCAAACCCTACAGAATCTCCTACCATGCATGCGCAGATCTGCAACAGCACTTCCTCGTGTTACACGAATAAGCCAGTATTAGTCATGCATGGCACATTGGTGGCGGTGGTGATGGTGGTAGCACTACACTAGAGTAGTGGTCGTTTCAATAACTAGTACTACTCACAGTGGCGGCAGTGGCAGTGATGGTGGTGGCGGTGATGGTGGTGATGTTGTTGTGCTGGCGGTGGCAGCGGCGGCAATAGTGGTAGAGGAGGTGGTCGTGTTGGCATCGGCGGCGGTGGTGGCAGTGTATAGTAGTAGCACTACTAAGAGGGAGAAGTGCTAGTGATAGTAGTTAACATGGATCATAATTGTGGTTGTCGTATTATTATTATTATTAGTAGTAGTAGTAGTAGCAGCAGCAGCGGTAGTAACAATAATGACTCATCACAGCAGCGCCTAACCATATGACAGGGGCAGGGTTGCAAAAGACTACTACTGGGTCAGCTTCACAAAGTTAAGATTTCCTGGGAACAAAAAGTGGCTATTTCGTGCTTTTGTTGTTAATCATGCATGACTCGAAACCAACTGGGGTTTTCAAGCATTCATCACAATTGAGAAGAGCTAGAAAAAGCTGGCACCCCGTAGGCAAAGCTGCACATTGAACACTCGAGGGACTATACTTGGGAGGGAAACACTGGCTCCCCTGGGAGACTAGTGCAGTGCATAGTTGACATAGTGCACTTGTTGCTGCAAAATCTCAGTAACCTTCTGCACCGTGTTTTTATGGGCTAACACATCCTAAGAATGGAATCGTCAAGTATACGACCATTTTTAAGGGGGCCAGAGCAATAATTAACATTTCCTAGCTACCTTTTCAAGATTGGATCTATCTATATATGGCCCAAGCAGTTATTAGCTCCCTTGCGTATTCGCCAGGTGGCCATTTCTCAAACTATGTACCAGTAACAACCCTGGGACCCTGTTGACCTGACAAGCTTGCATTGACCAATTAGGGGCTTATAAAATTTGATCACGAGTATTGCGCAACCCTGCATTGGACCCTGGACCCTTCACCAAATGCAGAAGTCTGAATTTATTAGACTAGTGAACACTCAACTGTCCCACGCTAAAGGCATGTACCCGTTCCCTATCTTAAATTTTGGCCGACTGGGTCTGCGCACGTAGCCGTCAACCATTACAATAGTATATATACAATGCAATTTGAACTAATTAATGTATGATTTGTATATGCATAACTTGTGGGGCCCAAGGGGCTACAGATCTCCACACCCGTGAGTAAACTCCAGACCATGGTGTTGGGGGTGTATAGCCCATTTCAGTAAACCAGGATGGCATCCAATAGTTCTGAAATCCCAGGCGAGAAGCATGCCCTGGATCTTCTTCTGCTTGTCCAAGGCTTTCTGGATCGCGTCGTTCAGGGCACCAATGGCCTTGGGTTCATTAATGTTGCAAGGTATTTCCAGCGCTTCGCTGAATAGAATTACCTGTGTTGCTGTAGTTGCGTGGACGCATGTTTCTATCTCCCAGTATGATATCGGAAACAGGGGCCTTCTTGGCCTGCGCGTAGGCGGCCCTTCGTGCTTTATCCTGCTCCTTCTTCTCCTCCTTCTCCGCCTGCTCCTTCTCCTTCTGCTCGCGCTTTGCGCGCTGCTCCTTTGTCTCCTTTTTGCCCTTGCTTTTCTTTCCCTTCCTGGCCTTCTGGCCCCTCTTCTTCTTTCCTCCCGACTTCTTGCCCTTTTTCTTGCGTGACTTAGATGACGACTCCTGAAAGAGGGCTGCAAACAAAGCCTTGGCTTTAGAAATTTATTGTAGTATTATTTTAAGCCTATAGAATGGGTTGATGAGGAATCGGGGACGTGGAGCGTCACCATGCCTTTGGTAAGGGTTTGCATTTTTCGGCCATATAACATCAAAAATGCATTCAGCAAAGAAGTATATACGCTCAACCATCTGCGACATACCAATGCGCTTGCTTGTGGCAAATTATGAGGGTTACGTGGGGGCCAGGTATATAGACCATATGTTATAATACATGATAAGTCGAAGCCTACGCTACCGTGTCAGCTGATGCACATTGCACATGCACATCCTTAAAAACATGGACCCTGGGTTGCTTACTTGGGCTGCAGGTTAGATGGACCCCAGGACCTAATATAGTTTATAAATCCACTAGACTAACATTAGAGAGGGATCCCGTTCATGTCTATACCCCTTGCGTGCATCTTGCATGCACTTATACCATCTACAATGTAATATGTATATATATATTTGGACCCATAATTTACCCTGCAGACCTAGGATGTTTGTTCTACCACCCAAATTGGTCACTAAACCCCAACACAAACTAATGATCGTGTCAGCTTCCAATGCCCAACATTGCTACTTACTACATGACTGACCTTGACTAACCCTGGCTAATGGTTGTCCAGAATGGTACTCCCTTATGGTAGACTTTATACCCCTGCTGCCAAGTCACGCTCCGAACAGATACTCATGCCCAGCCCATTATCAACATGATTTCGGATTTCGGGATAAACTATTATAAGGTCTATAAAGCATTCTTTGTTAGGGTTCAATAATGGAGTGTATTAGGGTTTATTTAGGTGTCCCTATACCGCAACAAAAGAGAACTAATTCAGCGACTGCGAGAACAATCGTAGATTCCTGGTGGTAAGTGCCGAGATGACAGCGCATAATTTTCGTGTGTGTGATCAGGGTACCCAGATTTCAATGAGATCATGCACCTGAGAGCCCACATAGGGATGAAGACCCTACAACCTTGGTCCCTGTTGATGATACAACCCGGGTCCCCGCTATTCATGCCCAGTGTACTTCCATTACAACGCCTTCACATAGTATATACGTAATAGGATTATAAACGCCTACTTCCTAATTGCTGTCAGGAGACCCCAAGTGTTGCACCTCCTATGGCCTACCTCTTCTCAGGGTTCCAGGGACCCCTTTCTTGAGCTTTGCTGTGGAAACCACTCGTAGTCAACTGTGTACCAAGACAGCATGACAGCTTTGTAGAATAAGCAGGCCCAATAAACTTTAGTTCCATTCTCTACCTGGCTTTGTGACACGTGTTGCAAGAAAGCGGTTCCTCCTCGCTAGCGCTCCCATCTTCCGTGTCATCATCCTGACTGCTGCTCGTCCTTTTGCTCTTTTTCTTCTTTTTCTTGTTGTCATCCGCAGGCTTGTGGCACCGGCGCTTGGCAGCCCTTGGACGGGAGGACTCATCATCAGAGTCTTCATCGGCGCAGGACATGAGGCTAGTCAACACCTCATCCTCTTCAGTAATCTCAGCTTCACTGTCCCACACCAGGTACAAGCGCAGCTCCTGATGTATTTGGACATGTGTAGCGGTATGATACATTTCGCTGGGAGTTTGGGGCAATTCAACGCCAGGGTAATTATAATCTATAGCAATTGTAATTCAAGACTGTTGTAGACGTGGGGTCCTTGTTGCCCGGAGCCTCTGGGTGATCCTTTGTCTGTGTGCCGCTTGGGTCAGCCTCCTTGTTGGAGATGATCTCGTCCGCTAGGGCTGCGCTACCGTACTTCGCGATGAGCTGCGCTCGCGTCATCCACATTCGGCAGCCTCTCTTCCGCTCAGCCTTGGACTTCTTGATCTCCAGATAGAAGCTGGATTTCTTCCAGTTGCCATCGCACTGCAGCCACTGCTCCTGCAGAACGGACAACTTCTCGGAGCCTCAGGTTGTTTACCCCAATCGCGCAATGTGCACATCCCACGCTACCCTGGGGAAGGCTGATTTAGGGAAACGCTTCTCACACAGCAGCCCGATTTGTAGCACGCGTGCCACAAAGCCAGGTAGAGAATACTACTTCATATTGTTGAAGTGGAGACCCCCTCCTGTACATTATGTACATGCAAGCCAGGGCGAAAGTTTTAGATGAACGCTGACGTCATCTCCCAAATCTTTGAAAAAGGACCGAACAGTTATCCAACTTTGAAAACGAAGCTAAGAAGCAGTGGAAGGCCTTCCTGCCAGCCTTGCGAATCTCCGGAGGGGCATTCTTGCCTGAGATGATAATAACGTTAGAAACTAGCAAATTTCTCTCAGATTTCGCATTCTCTGTACCACGTATTATTAGATCAGAAACAGAATACACGGGCATCCTGGTAGCAGATAGGTGGGACTGTAGCAACATAGTGGATACCTCTGACAAATCCTAATTAAGTTTACAAGTCCTGAGGAAGCTGCAGAAATTGTTGGGCACCATGGGCCATGGGCAGGCAGCTCGGAGACAATAGGTGCTTCCCTCTATAGATGTAATATTAGTATATAATAAATAGTATAGTATACTATACTACAGCAGTATTAGTAGCTTAAGCATACTCAGCTCCCCCGTGTAGAACGCAAGTAGAGGGGATTGCAAACAGCACGCAGTAGCCAAGGTTACGTATAATTATCATGGTACAGTGCGTCCAGATTCTAATGGTTCTGACAATTTACTGAAGACTGAGAGTTGTTAATCCAGTGGATAGGCTCATGGCAGACCAAAGCTGGGTGAAGAGGATTGGGTAGGTTGGCCACACAGAGTAGATTAGTTAGGATCCTATTGCAGCGTGCAACCATTGCAACAACTAAGCGGGGTACTGCTGAGACTGCGAGAGAACCTCATGTACCTGGCGTGCCGAGCTTTCTTGATCCGGACAAGATCTTTCTTCTGCTCCTCACTCAGCTCCTTCTCCTCTCCTTCCTTCGCATCATCCTTCCCTTCGCCTTTCTTGCCGCGCTTGCAGTTCTGCTCTTTCTGACCTTCCTCATCTCCTTGCTCCTTGCGAGCCTTTTCCTCTTTGGACTTCCTCCTGTCATCCTGCCCAAATTCCTTTGCCTCATCATCCTTGCTTGCCTTCTTCTCATCTAGCGTGGCATCCTCCTGAGGGCCATTCGTTGGCTCAGTGCTGGGTTTGTCCTGGGTTGTGTCATCAAAGGAGAAATTGCTCAAGGAAAGGGAAACACTGCTGGGGGCAGGCGAAAAGGGCGCGGGCGGTTCCGGAGTGCCTTCGATCTTTGGCACATTTCCACTCAGCAGCAAGCAAATTGACTCCAGTCCTGCGTGGTGCACCTTTTGAGGTTTTCGAGGATGCTTTGACGAAGCATCTCAGGACTGTTGGGAAGCTGCTCTTTCACAGGCATTGGCAGGGCCTGGTCTTTCGCAGGGGTTGCCAGGGCCTGGTCTTTCGCAGGGGTTGTCAGGGCCTGGTCTTTCGCAGGGGTTGTCAGGGGCTGGTCTTTCGCAGTGAGTGCCAGGGCCTCGTTTTTCGCAGGGAGTGCCAGACCGTGCTCTTTCGCAGGGATTGCTGGGGCCTGAAGCCAGGGTGGGCTTTCCATACTAGGGAGCGGTTGTGTTTCCATCTCGTCCGGGTTCGCGACACAGGAAGCTGGGGCTGGCAGAGCTGGCAGGGCAGTGGCCTGATCAGGACCCCTTGGCTTCACCTCCGGGACCACTGGTCTCCAGAGCGCTGGAAGGTGATCACCTTGACTAGGCGCACTGGCCTTGGGCACATCCGGCTTGCTTTTTCTGGCAGCCTCGGTTGCAGGTGGCAGCGGCTCAGAAGTCTTGGGCGCAGGGCGACTCTTGGCCGCTGTCTTCTTGCCCTTGTTCTTCAAGGTCTTTTTTGCCACGCTTGCTTTTTTGCTGCTTGCGTTGCTTCCTTTCTTTCCTTTGCTTCCTTTGCTTCCTTTGCTTCCTTTGCTTCCTCTGCTTCCTTTGCTTGCTCTTGCGCGCTTGCTCGCTTTTGCTTGCTTGCTAGCTTTTGTTTGCTTCCGCGGCTTCTTCTTGTCACAGGTGCTCGCTTTGCGTTTGCTAGGGCCAGGGGCGGGTGACTTGCAGGAAAGCCTGAGTTTTGGGTGTGCAGCAGGCTCCTCAGGGCTTGGTCCAGGCCCGGTGCTAACACTGGCGTCCTTGCCACCCTTCTCAGCACTTGGCAGGCCCTTCTTAGCACTCGGCTGGCTTGGGGTGATCGAAGCTCGGGAGTCGCTGTGCAGAACGGGCGGGGTGCTTCTTCGCAGAATTTTGTCCTGTGGGGTCCGACAAATCGCCTCATGCCTTGCAGGCGCCGAAGCTGCGCGAGCTGGTGTTGGAAGTGGTCTTTTCCTATCCTTTGCCACTTCTGTAGCTCCTCTCAAAAGTAATTTAGGACCCAGTGTTTTAAGCTAAGCAGCCCTATTATCTCTTAATATAATACATTCACATGGACCCGTTAGCTATAGTTGAAAGAAGTGCGCTTAGTGAAACAAATGGTGCACATATATATATATATAGGTAGGGAAGTAGCCTAAATCTAGGATAAACATATTACTTTGTTTTGGCGAAAACAAGACACACACATGTACAAAACCAACATACCCTTGAAGCGCCACAGTGGTTGTCATTGTTGATCCGGATCGTGATTTCCCCTGACACAATGGACTGGAAGCCACTCCAAATATTAATACTTGATCATAATCATCGTCATCATCATCATCATCAGCATCATCATCATCATCATATCATCATATCATATCATCATGATCAAGAGTTGTTTTCAATGGGGTTGCGACCTGAGTGGCTTATAGGCCCGTTTGATAAGCCAGCGCTAAAATCATACACATCTATGGTATATCTATCTATCCAACATAGCATTCTACCAAACCCAATGTAACAGCTCTACGACCTAACTTGTCTTGCAGTATACATACGCGCAAGTGGTCTTCACGGCTAGAGGAAGCTGGAGTATTCTGCTCACGCAGGCTCCGGTGGATTGGGCATTTGCAGTCTATGTTTCTGGGCTACTTGAGGGGAAACATGGCCCTTAGCCTAGATTTCACACTGTGGACTGGCTGCATGGTATTCCATCCTCTTTATATCAATTCTCTTTGAAACATTGCTGGGTCCACTAGTTGGGGAAAGGGGCAATGTCGAACACCAAAGCTACATCAAGCCCGTTAACCCTTCTGACCCCTAAATCCCCCAAACAAGGCAAACTCTGGGCCGACCTGGCTCTCCAGTCTTCTCAGCAGCACTCTGGCGTTGCTGGGCTTGCTTTAGAGCATCATCGGACCTTGTCGGATGACGAAGTATGTTGGGCTTATAACATGATTCACACTGATAATATATTATAGTTCTGAGTACATGACAGCTCACAAATCCAGGGTAGGTCTTCCATAGTTTCAGCACAATGGAAGCGTGCTATAGTGTTCTGGTACATGTCGAGTTCAGCCTGCCTCTGCCTTCGTCTGGCCGCCTTTTCAAGTTCTGCTTGCGCCGCGTCGCGGGCATCCCGCGATGCACGCTTATCGGTCATCCTGGAACCCTAAGCAATCTAGCCACTAGCAATGGCTCCCTGAGGTGCGATCCAAAAACCTGCACGTAGATATGCTTTATATGGTCCAGGGCTCTGTTTGCAAGATCAAGGCAGCGTGCTGCACCAGCAACCGAAATGGGCGTTCACGCCCGTTCACGCCCATTAACGCCATTCATGCTCCGAAATTTGTCTAAGTGCCACTAGGATTGTTGCTGATTTCCCGAAATGGTCGTTCACGTTCTAAAATGGTCTTTCACGTTCTAAAATGGTCTTTCACGCTGGTTTCACGCTATTTCACGCCATTTCACGGTAGCCTGCCCCGTGGGCGTTTCGGAGCGAAAATGGGGCAAATGTGGCATTTTTGCACACTGTTGAAACCTGCTGCAGGTATACCAGCAGCAGCACGCAGGAAAGCTCTACAGACGCGGAGCCACGGCTGCATTCCAGCTCTTGAATTTCATAGGAAACCAGCGCAGGTGCTATGAAACGGATGGTTTAGATCACATGCTGCCAGCCTCAGTATCCCAGGCAAAGCCTAACTCCCCTGGAGAACTGACTGAAAAGAAACACCTGCCCCAGCTACCTGAAGCAAATCACTGCGCTTTGTAGCAAACAGGCGATGCTTTAATAAAATTGTTTTGAACTTCGGGGGCACATTCTGATACGAGAAGGTCACTGTAGGCTCAGGAAGATTATAGCAAGATAGTGCTCCATGAACATCACAAGCAGAGTGAAAAGGAATGCACCCCACTTTGTTCCAAAACTGCCTCCCTTAGTCAAGGCCGTACTTGTGCGTCGGTCGGTAGTTGCCAGCTTTGATCTCATCCTTCAGGAACTGTTTGATGTCGGCAAAGAGGCCGTGGCGCCACTTGAAAGGGCCCTGGCTACATTGGATGGAAGATGCTAGAACAATGGGGCAAACACCAATTCCACCAACAATTTTTCAATATATTTACACGGCCAGAAATGATCACGAGAAGCCACACAGGTTGTCTTGGAGTCTTGGGCGCTGGGATTTTTATATCTCAAGAGACCAGTCTATTCTGAAAAAGGTCGATCAAAGTGAGCAAAGGAGTCCATTTGTGAGCCTGTGTTGGGGGACGGGCCTTTGACGGAGCCTTCATCATACCAGTCAACATGTTTCTTTCTTTCAGGCAGACCTTGCTTGGGCTAATTGTTCTTGAACACATGTACTGCTGCTCTATAGATCCCCCAGGACATGTGAAGACTATAGTGCAGCAAGCTATAGGCCTTTGATAGCAAGTAATTCTAGCACCCCAAACCCAAAAAAGCTCGAAAAGAGTGCAATTAGGCCAAGCAGATTAAGTAATTGATGGAGTGAAGAACACAATTCTCCACGAATCTTCAAGCCCGCCATGGAAGCCCAACCCGGCAGC